CAGTTAAATAAATACTATGTTTGGAATGAGAGCAAAAATCAGTTTTACATTTTTTTGCATTCACAATATACTTATTGTAATGTTTTTGATATAAGGCTTTGCCAACTAAATCCAAATCTTGACTTGAAATTGGAATGATTACTTGGTCAGTTATAACTGAAGTGCCATGTTTTTCGTAATCGCAAGTAACATCATCATGTTGACCTTCTAATCGCAGATTTGATGCTTTCTTTTTCCTTCTCTCTTGGTGGAGTCTGCAATGTTATAGTTTTCTGGCATAGACATCTTGCTAATTATAAAAAAATGCTATTAAACGCTTCTTAGCTAAGTTCCTAATTACTTGACGGATTACCAAATTACTTTAACAGTATATAGAATAGAGGTTGCTCTATCTAATTTTTTTTGTTATATCCTTAGCAGGAAGGTTAAGTTAATAGTGGAAGTGCTATATACAAGACAGTGAGAGCTTAACGAAAAACCTATCCTTGATCCAAATGAGTTTAAGAAAATGTTTGAGAAGAGTGAGCCATCATTAAGGGGTTTTTATGATCAATTGATGGTTGGAACTAATCCACAAGCGAAGAGCCACATGACCAATGAAAAAAATAAAAAAAGATTGGTGTCTTTTTGTTATTTTTTGGTGGGCCTTAACAATAAATTTATCAATGAAGTCAAGGCAAAGGTTGGGTTTTTGCTGAACATATCTGGAACATCTTCATTAGTAATTGAAACATTAGCTGGTGTAGGATTAACGATAAGACATGAAACAGTTACAAGACATAAAGCTCATCATGCAAAAATATATATAATAACAGTTGGAAGATTTTTATTAGAGAATGTAAGTGTATAAAATTTTTTTTTTTTAAGACAAATCAAAACTAATCAATTTGTTACAATTTTTAATAGACAGATAACTTGTTTATTCTTAATATAATAATTTTTATAATATTTATGAGTGCAGTCATAGTGATACAGCTAATGCTCATAATATTTCTCATTTTATTACAATTCTTTTAAAAGCCTTGTCGGGAACATCTTTTATCCCATTTCATAACCCTAATCAAGAAAACCATATCTATAATGAAAAGGAAGTCGATGCAACTATTATTATAGAGAATTCTAATATTTATTTCTTTCCTCATTTATGGCTTGGTTATGTAAGATGAAAGCAAGCATTTGTCAATTTAATTTCTGAACCCAAAACTCATGATGAACAAATGGAATGCCTCCTAATTCACAGTTATAATAATAGGATTGAGCAACATCAGACTGATCAAAGTATGGAGAATACAAAACTAGTGTCATTAAAGAAAGGATCTCTTCACACAACAGAAAATTATGTGAATGCTCTTAAGCATATGATAGAAATTTATAAGGTAAAAAATTATTTGAAGGCACGAATCTTAATTGCATCTATGGATTATCCTAAATAATTTCATGTGCATTATGCTATAACTCGTCTTCTCAATACTGGAAATTCCTCTGAAATATCAGAACAAATTTTACATATTGTTTCTATGATTGGACCTTTATATGTATCCTTAAATAGTTGTGAAACTGTGTTTCTTGAAAATTACTAATTTTTTGATAAGTTCTATCATTATATATATAGCGACAAGAAGGTTTTGACAAAAAGTTAAAAATTTACAAAATTAATTTATTATTAGAATTAGCATCTCAAGGATAGTCATGAATACATTCAGTAATCCTATGAAAATTTAAGAAGTCTAAAGAACTGAAGCTCAGATATCTTATTAATTTACTAGACAACATCATTCTATTAACTTTAGATTTTTATCCTATTATTTTTTATAGTAGAAATTGGCTAGCTTATAAAGAAGTCATATTTCGTATTTGGACCATTTTTTACTAATATCGGCACAGGCATTACAAAAATTTACTATTAGCATTTTTAAGTGATGTATTTTATTGGGATAGCACTAACCATCCTATTTCTCAAGCATTATCTGGTTATACTCATGTACTCAATGATTACTATGTGGAAAATTTTTATAACTTACTTAGATGACAAATACAAAGTTCAAACAGCATGGATCAAGTTATTCAACAGGTGCAAATAATCGATCAGATGCGTGGCAACAACTCCTTTACAAATACTTTTTCTGAAAGTCATAATGTTTGATATTCCATCAAACAACTTGAATATTTTGAAAAATGTATTGTGCTTTTTCTATTAAATCTCTTTACAAATATTTATCAAAATCTCGATAGGTCCTCTGAAGTACATTCAACTTCTAATTTATATGAACTTCCAACACTTGAAGCTCAAGTCCATGCCAAAATATTGATGATGGTTTGGAATATAATATATATTCCACAAACTGACAGATTTTACAATTTTGAGAATTGTGCAGACTCTTAGGAGGTAGGTTGCATTCTTGTTTATAGACATGCCTACCATTTTGAATGTTTTTTATTCAAACTGACAAATCAATGTCAGCATTATATTAAATATTTGGTAAGAGGAATTAAAAAAAGTTGTAAGACCTATCAAAAGGTTTTAAGTAAGTAGTCTAAAAATAAATCAAGCATTATTGAAACAGACAATGCTGATATTGATGATAGAGTTGGTACTAAAAATAATTCTGATTACGATACTACCACTAACAATGACACTAATGCCGATGATAGTACTAATGATACTAAAAATAATACTAACAAAAACAGAGATAATACTAACAATAATGAAGATTTTATTTTAGATAATATAGATTATAATAATATAGATTGCAATAATATAGATCTAACCATTGAAAAAGCTATGAATGTTTTAAAAAATACATAAATATAAAGATTTTTAGTATGGGTTAATAAATATGATGGGTTGGGGATTATTCAGTACTACAGAGGGAATCAAGAGAACTTGTAATTACATTGTATATAATACAAGCTTTTTTAATAAAGATTTATTTATTAAATTTACCTTTGGTAAAATCATGCCATATTTATTAGAGGAAATTGGATGCAATTGTTTTCCAAAATAGGTAATTGCAGACCACATTTAAAAACGAAAATTTTAATACGCATATATAAAAATAATAATAATAATAATAATAATAATAATTATTATTATTATTATTATTACATACACATGCATTTCTTTAACGCATAAAAAGTGACTGGGGATTGGAATAAAAAAAAAAAATTCGTTTAATTAGTTTCGTGAAAATCACAAAATAATTAACCAATTAAGATAAAGTCCCGTGATGCTGTCTCTGATTGGACGAAATCACTATATCAACTCTAAAGTGATCTGCAAAAAAATAGCCAATCGCAGAGAAAGCCCGCTATGCTAGCTGTGCGATGTTGTCGCGCGAAACCAGGAACGGAAGACGTGAGGAGTATTGGTATTGCATAGAATATGATTCGTAGTTCAGGAAATCTGTGCTGTAAGTCCTGCACACATTCAAGACGTGCAAGAATTCTGTTTATGACACAAATCTGGCACACATCTCATACTGCAAATATATGCACTACAGTCATAATTGCAATGCAGATTTAAAATATCACATCGTTTCTTATAGGTTACTCGGCATGTCTGTTATCCCCGTTCATTCATTATTATATTGCTTTTTTATTATATAGATAGCGTAATATTGCAAATTCAAACTGTATGTAATTTTTTTCAATTTTGCTAACTTTATTTGAATTCTGGTCATGGTTTTCAAGAACTCGGATTGCAATCTCTGAATTACGATTGCAAAAATGACTTCAGTATGAAATAAACAATTAGAATAATTTGAATGCTTGAGAATTATCTAGTAATACATGTACGTATAAAAAATCAGCCTTCGTACTGTAATATGCATGATCGAACAAATTAGGGAAAATCAAAAAAAAGGGTAACAATAAAAAATATAAATCTGGTTAGTAAAAAATTTTTTAACTGTCAAAAAAAAAGCAGATATAATAATGCGATAATATAACCTTATCAGGAACTTAGTAATGCAGTATTTGATTGGATTTTCTTTTTTAACTTATTTCTATAAATTATTAGATGCGAGCTTGTTACATTCTACATAATTATGTAATTAGAAATTGCGTATGGTGCTTTTTCGTCTATATACAACTTGATCTTTCCTAATTTGCATATGGGACTTCTCTATCTATGTGTAGCAGGCTATATCTGCAAATTCCGTTCCTGGTATAAATTTTGAATATAAATCGACTATCAAAATCAGCATGGTGTGCTTTGATTTTGATTGGATGATCGAATGGTTGATCGAATGGTTTCGTAGAAGACAAAATATACTGCCGTCTATTGAACTATACGAAGTTATACTGGTAGCTGGAAACTTTTTTGCTTAAGCTAAATAATTTGAAGTTACAAAATATCATAATAAAATACAGTATATAGTTTAATTTTTATAATAAAAATTATTGATAAAACTATCTAAATAGAAATATATATATATATTTGATTTAAATAAATTACAAAACTTTAACATCATCATATTGCCTTTATTTTATAAAAGTCAAAATTTTATTAAATAAATCAATATTAAAATGCTAAATAAAGTCATTCAAAAGACCAATATGTTTTATTCTAAAAGTTTGATATAAATTAAGTAGCTTTTTATTAATATAATTTTTATTTTTTTATGTCTTGCAAAATATTGAAAACCAGTCAAAATCTTGATTCTGAACCAAACCAGGTTTAACTCAGGTTTTGAACTTATTATATAAGAACTTTGGTTCTTAGGTTTTTAATTTGGAGCCTATGGGTTTTAGAATCTAAACCAAACCAAAACCAACTTTACCATTTCTAGACTAAAGGTATAATAATCCTTCGGGTGTACCTTCAGACTTGCGATAAAGAACTTTCTCACACGCTTTTCTAAAACTTCAGCGATTACTTTCATGCGACGTTCCGTAGAGCAAGCAAACCTGCCTAAGTACAAATAGCCTAAATCATGCAGAAAGTAAAATAAATACACATTGATTATGTTTACCCTTTAAGGCCTTGATTTTGTCAACAAATTTACCTTAATGTCAGTACCACTCAAATCATCTTTAGACAATACAAATTCCTCAAGATCCACATCATCTGATAATGTAATTCTCCCTGTATGAATTTAAAAATACGACGTTTCGTTTTTACGTCTAGAAGCGGAAAGTCTATCTTTCGGTCAATACGTCTCGGGTGAATCAGAGCAAGGTCCAATGATTAAATACGATTTGTTTCCATGATGACCTTTATATATGTAAAAAATCGAATTAATAAATTATTTATATATTAATGTAAGCAGGAAATTCCTACAAGCTGGTTAACCTTGACATCTCCCCTAGAATCAAACCGTCTAACTGATTCAAAAGTTCTAACATAGTTCTTTGAATTTCCCTTTCACCACCTGAATTGGAATCATATCTATAATTAAATGGCGTCAATTTTTTTTTTAAAAATAATAATAAAATAATGACAATTAAAATTATAAATTCAATCAGAATAAGATTCATTCATATATACGTTAGTTCCAATAGCATGAATTTCATCAATAAATACAATGGAAGGCGCATGTTCTTCGGCAACACGGAATAATTTGCGTAACAAGTTTTGGACCATTTCTAAGATTTTTTTGGATCAATTCTGAACCCATAACGCACAGAAAAGTTGCAGATGTTTGATTCGCCACGCCTTTAGCCAAAAGTATTTTACCTGCATATACAGCGATATTTACTATTGATCTGTAGATACCTTGTTGATAGAAATATTAAATTTACCTGTTCACAAGACCCCATATAGGATAACGACTTTCGGAGGTTTAATCCCCACTTCTTCATAAAGTTCTGGATGTGTTAGGAATAATTCTACGGATCTTTGATTCCTTGAATTTGTTATTCTAAAATACCAATATCTGCATGTGATTCTATAGGTTCTTTCTCAAGTTTCATGACACTAACCATTAGATCAGTATCATCTTGAAGTACACCGACAACAGACATAGCCTATTAGGTGTATATGTTAAATAAGTAGACCTACAAATGATAAGATGCTGACATAATATTCTGGTCCCGCAGAAGAAGAAACTTTTGCATGATCATCGTCAATGATTTCTTCCAGAGATCACACACTCATTGGGGAACCACGTAAATTATCCACCCGGGTTCTTTCTTCCTGAGAATAGTCAACATTATCATTGTCAAAAATAT